CCCCCCCCCCCCCCCCCCCCCCCCCCAACGCGTCCATCTCTCGTCAAGATCAAGTCGCTGCTAAGCCCGGGCGAACTCGAACACCTATCGGACGTCGCGATTCGACAACAGCACCAGCGGGGCGGAACGACTTCTGCCGATACACAACAGCAGCAGCAGCAGCAGCAGCAGCAGCAGCAGGAACCGTTGGATGGGTGCTGGCTGCCTCCACGTTTCAAGCGCGTGGTGTGGGTGGTTGTAGACGCGCTGCGGTACGATTTCGCCGCGTTTTCGCCGCCGGACCATGCCGGGGAGGTGCTCCAGGACAAGCCCCACTCTGCGGGTATGATTCGTGTGCCGCGGGTTTCCTTCAGGCCTTTTAAGTTTTACTGCTGTCTACACCAAGATTTTTTTTTCTGGTGTAGGTGGAACCGCTTCCTTTTTGAGTACATGGAGAGGACAAAATACCCCACCTGACCCATGCCCTCGTTGGTGACGGGAAACTTCGCGATGTCATCGCGCACAGCAGCTTCCATGTCTTGTGTTGCCACACATCTCGCGTGTTTACGAGTCGTCTTCCTAGGTTTGCCAGAGGGGGTGCGGATTCTCAATTCCTATGCATGATGGAGATTTCGGGATCGGCTCCGGCCCCCCGCGCGCGCGTACGAGAAGGTTTTCCCGCGCAGGCGGCGTCCCCTTTGGAAGGAACGCGTCCAACACCGCCCGATGTTTGGTAGACCACACACACCATGTAAACCAGCGAGACTCGCTCGGAATTTTTTTGCAGAAGGACTCTCACCGCCCTGCTCAATTGTCGCCCGTGTGTTTCGAGAGCAGGCGCCAGGCACTACCTCAACCACCTCCCGGTGATTAATGAGGCCATCGGCGGTGGCGCCGGCGCCGGCGGGAGCAACAACAACAACAACAACAACGACCCCTCGTCTTCTTCTGCTTTTGAGGGGTCCGGGGGTGTCCTGTTCCAGTTCGAGGCAGACCCCCCGACGGTCACAATGCAGGTGTGTCTGTTTGCATCGACCTCGCTACCCGGCTGACCAATGAAAAGACGCCAGTCTCAGTGCGGCTGAAAACACAAAACTCTTCTAGAGGTCATGATCTGGGACACCGTGAGTTGGTGTGCTTGCGTCTGATGTTGGCATTGACGGCACTACCTGGCTCGCCAATGGCGAAACGTCCGTCTCACAGCTACTCACAAACGGAAAACGCTTCGAAAACCAGCGTGTATCTGTGTGCCAGCTCGCGACTCCCAAAAGAGATATTCTGTCAGGGAACAACGACAACGGTGTTTTTCTTCTGCCATCAATTTTCACTGCAGTGTTGCTAATCCACAAAGTCCGAAATGATTTCCAGGCATGCTCCTCCAAATGTTGGGTCAACGTCGTAGTTTTGTGGCCGTCTCTGTGAGGCAGGAATTACCGTAGGTCGCGTAAGATACCACAGCCCCCTGGACCGGTTTTGAAACTCGATTACTCCACGACCAAGGGGATGCCGAAGTCAAACGATACGTGGGAAAGCTCTCGACGAGACAATTCCAACTCCGCCATATTTCGGCACCGTCATTTCTTTCCTTGCCGAGTAATCAAGCTCTGAAAATCGGCCCACGGGGTGGATGTGACATCTTACGCAACCAACGGGATATTTCTTCCCATAATCGAGTTGCGTGCATTCAGTATTAAGTTCAGAACGCGCCACCATGGGTCGTTTGACACGTTGAAGCTAATAATTGGAGGTTTCATCATTTTCGTCCCAGATCAACTCGAAACCTATCTCATGCTGAAACCTGTTGAGTGCCCGCCACGATTCCCCAAAAGCAAGCAGAGGGGCGAGTCTCGGGGCGAAGCAAGAGGCTCTGCGGTGGTGGCAGCCTTTTTAACATTAGCCGTTGACCACACCGATGAATGCGTCAGATGTTTGGGACCAATGTTGACGATAATTGGTGATCACTGATGCCGGAGGTATGGTATGTTTTCGCAGGAGCTGGCATAGGCACCCTCACGAGCGCAATTCGGCCGCATCCTCCACAGAGTGCAAGGGAAACGCAGCAACAACAAAGCGAAGGACGGTAGTATTTAAAATTAACACCAAGCGTTTCATCACTTGCCCATTCACCCCCCGTGTCGCTCCAACCCCAACTCTTCTCGGCAACCCCGCAACAACGCCTACTCGACAGAGGCTGAAAGGCCTCACCACGGGAGGGCTGCCGACCTTCATAGACTTCCGCGACAATTTCCACAGCGCCCAGATAGCGGAGGACAACTGGGTCGCGCAGGTGCGGGAGAGGGCGGCAAGGCGACGAGGAGCGAGCGGGGGCGTAAACGCCGCTAGCAGCAGAGGCGGCGGGAGCGGGGGTGGGGGCGAGCTCGTGTTCATGGGGGACGATACTTGGACGTCTCTGTACCCGACGTACTTCTCCCGCAGCTATCCCTTCCCGTCGTTCAACACCAGGTGGGGGGGGGGGGGGGGGGGGG